AGGTGATCTGAGCTGGATAAGCAAGTGAACCAATGATCAGAGGATGGCAGAGGCAAGCTGAGAAAGCAGCACGAGCAGACAAGCAAGCACCAATGGGCTGAAGCGAGAGGCAGTGGGAGAGACACTGAGGAGTCAGGCAAGTGACTGAGAGCCAGAAAGAGTCTAATTGCCGGGAGGGGAGGGAAAGGAAGAGGGACCTGGTCCCTAGTGGCCCTCTTGGGAGCAGCGCTATAGAGGTATACTTGTTCTACGACTGAAGTTGGCAATAGGGTTAAAGTTATTATGGAATTTGATGAGAAATTAATTTTTATAGATGTAGATAAATATATAAATGTATACTTAGCATAAAAACTGAAAAAATACATATAGAAAGAAATCAGCCCACCTGCTTGCAATTATAAACTCCTTTTGGTGATGTGCTGCAAAATTCTATCAGGTTGCACCCTGGTTTTTATATGGTACTAATATACTCACCGTTCATTATATTTCTGCATACTTTTAATTATCATTCTTATAATGTATACTACATATTTGTCCAAAATCATTCATGGCCAGCTCCAATCTTATGAACTTTATTTTTTACCTGATGCTTCTTCTAGAGATGGGAGATTCCCAGTAAATCACTGTCTGATTTTATAACCCCTAAGAGATGAAATTCTAAATAGCATCTGTACATAGTTTTTGTGGATTTATGAGACAAACTCAAAAGCTCCATTACTGATAAACACCTGCTCTTACTCATATAAGCTGTATAAAAAAACAAGACCTAGACTTAGGTATAACAATGCCAAAGAGCTGTCAAAGCCAATTATAACTGTGCAAGGTTGGATGTATTTTTATCTTTTTTTGTTCAATAAATGCCCTGGTTAAATGCTTTCAGGAGCTTGACTCATACACTCCTAATTTGGCAGTTAGTGCTTATCTATTTTATTCTGTGAAAACTATGTAATAATCCTATCATTGACAACTTCTTACAAACCATTAAAAATAATATTTTCTCCAATAGTACCAAAATTCGTGGACATAAGTTTGTTCTCTGCCTAAATGATATAGCTATTTTATGTGAATTCACATTTAAGTTGTAATAAATATATTATTTTTAATTTATATCTATTCTTCAAATCAGTTTTAGGGCTTTAGATTTTTGGTGAAGCTCTGTTGTTTTAGCAAAGTCGGTAGACTCAAAAGGTTTAGTTTTGTGTTAATAAAACAAATTTATAAAATGAATGAACTGTTCTTATGCTAATTAGAAAGACTTCCAGTACAATGGAATATAGAGAGAAAGACCATATAATGTTGGCATAGCAATTTGTACTATCTTTATATATTATTAACAAGAAATAACTCTTGCTGTATAGTACATGTCACAGAAATAAATACTTACGCAAGTAGTTCTTGGTGAACATAAAACAAAAAAATAATGTTTGAATCATATATCCTGTAAACCATTATGGTTATTTATCAACCTAAGTTATTACACTCATTAACTCTTCAAATATGGTATACAGCTCTTGCTTATTTAATTCATTACTGTATTTGATCATCGGTAAATTAAGGCTTTCTATGACAATAGCCATGGTGCCCTTGATTTGGGCCTCCATCTACCTCTGCTGTGGCTGTAAATATAGAAGCTTAACCTCAAATTAATACTTCATTCAAATTAATAAACTGTAGTTAAGGTTGGCTACTTTCTGTTTGATACACATTCATTTCAAATTAAATTATAAAGTTAACATGGTTTGAAATTTACATGTTTTGGATTCAGATGCAATGCTAAACTGTGTATAAGAAGAGTTCCCAATTGCCTGCCATAATTTGCCAAAGGAAATGAAAGTGAGGAATATGTTAGTTAAAGCTCATTAACTGTCATTTCATGCCCCTCATAATAAAGCAGATCCTCTAGTTCTGCATGGATCTCATTCCTGCTGTCTTAGTGTGGTTCCAGAGTCTTCTAGAGATTACTAGCAATAATTACTTATATTGTAATTATTAATTTGTTAGATAAAATGATAAATACACACAAAAAAAGAGAGAATAATCATATAAAAATTTTTTTATGTAAATAAAATTAGTATTCACCCTGACCCTATTCCCTTAATTTCATTTTTGGAAGTTTCTTCCATTCTAGCATGCAATCCAATAGTAAGTGAAGGCAAATCCCTGTAAAAAATAAACTTAACTTGGTTCTAAAGTATGATGAAAATAATTTTTATAAAGATAACATATGGAGGATAATTAATTAAATAATTAAAATCATTTCCACTGAGGATACATGGAGTTGTCTATACAAATATATGTTTCTGTTTTATTGCTACATCACATATGATAATATATCATAGAGAATAGTGTGTCAATTTTCTACAATGCATATATTTTTATGGTTATTTTTATGACTGCTTTCATCTCACTAGAAGGTGAGATGAATTTCATAACACTATTCAGACTGTTTTCTAATTAATACTCAGGATTTCAAATAAATTTTTATTTAATGTTTAGTCATCAGAGCTTTGGGTCTATTGCCAGGTGAGAGAGAGTGTGAGAACCCAAGTGGGTTTGGGGAAAATGTGGCAGAAGTGTGGCAGGGCTGCAGTGGTTGCTGTTGGATGAAAAAGGGGCATAAGTGGCCTGTGAGGTGCAGTGTGAGAGGTTCAGGGAGGGTGCACAAAAGTCACAAATAGCCAGAGAGATGGAGTGCAAGTGTAGTAAGGCTCAGGGTATGCAATGATGTGCAAGGATATGTGGGTGGCCAGTGAAGGAAGGCAAGAGCACAAAGCAGTTTGGAGAGGTCAGGGAGACGTATCCAGGTGACTTGTGATCTTCCCTGACGGCTTCCTCAATGAATTTGGTTGTAGGAAGCAGATAGGAAGGTTGCAGATTGCAAACATGTGAACACGGGTGCTGCAATCATTGTAAGCATGAGCCAGTTGTCAAATGCTTAGATAGTGATCACAAGACTGCCAGAATGCTGGGATGGCTGGAACCTGAAGACCGTAGGCACCATAGATTCAGTGGCATTATAATTTTGAACAGTCACTGAATGAGTGATTGTTAACTGAGAATTTCCTGTATATGCACTACAGCTAGAAATACCTATGGTTTTCTCTTCCAATGACTCACAAAAAAACCCTGAATCTTAATGTTATTTTAACAAGGCATCCACATAAAAGTACAATAATTTACAAAGGAAAGATATCAGAAAATCAATGCTTGATGAATAAAGACATATATCCAATTGTTCCTATACTGAAAAAAATGTTTAATGTTAGGTAAACGTTACAATTAGATTTATAGTACAAAAAGCAACTTGATACTGGAATTAATTGCTCAGAGAAAAGATGGTAACATTTAAGCAGAGTTAGATAAGTAACTTTAATTTGGATTCCTGTATTGAGCAAAATGACCAGTTCTAACTTTAGGATTCTATGAAAGAGGAATAACAAATTACAATGCAACATAAATGACTAATTTAATTTTTGAATAGCTGAATATAATCTGAAGACAGACTCGTTTATTTTATTGTCATGAGATTTGTTTTGAATAAAAATATGGTTGCTGAATATTCAACAATTAAAGGAGTATATTGTATTAAGAGATACTTTGTTACTTCTGTTTATTATTAATATTCTATATACCTATATCAAGTGAATATTTCCCAGATTTACTATCTTCCCCCTCTCTCTCACTCACTGACATACACACACTATGTAAAAAAATAAAAATATAAAAGTTATGTAGAATTGCATGTGTCTTCAGGTTCTGTTATAAATTGTTTACATTCAATTGAGTTGTTAATAGTAGATAACTCTTTTTGTTCTGCCTATATACCTACTCATATTTGCATGCTTGCAAACTTCTAGGTGGGCAGGAGCTGGGGCAAGTAACGGGAGCTCACCCCTTGTGTGATACTTGGGTTTCAAACCTTTCCAGCTCACAAGTTCAGTGCCTTTGCCTTCTGAGCCATCATACTTCCTATGTGTATATTTATGCATGTATATATGTATGTAGACACATACACACAAATATACACGCACACACAGTGTGTGTATATTGTATGTGTGTGTGTGTGTGTGGAAATGGACTATCAAGTTACATGCAAATATGTTAAGTTTCAGAAAAGACTTCTTTTCACAGAAATACTGAAACTATTCCCCAAAAATACATTTTGTGCATTCTTCACAAAATTAACATTACAACTGAAAAAGGAAAACATAATTCCCATGCAAATTATTTTAAAAAACCTGATCCTATAGAAGCTTGTACACAAATGGATATACTCAAGGTTATCAAAAGTCATTTCCCTGTACAACAATTGTTGGAGTATAATTAGGAAATTTGGAAGGCAAATTATTTTAACTTCTACATTTGTTCCTCCAGCACCCCAGCAAAAAGAGCCCAAATCACAGTTTGGAGAATTTAAGTGTCAACAGTAGAAATCTGTTGGTCTCCCAGAAGCTTATTGCAATCATTATTTATGTTATTTGTAAATGTGAGAGAGAGAGAGAGAGAGAGAGAGAGAGAGAGAGAGAGAGAGAGAGAGAGAGAGAGAGAGAGAGAGAGAGAGAGAGAGATGAAAAGTCATAGGCATTTTGCTCTTGAATTTTGGTGGTGAAATCATGCATTCTTAAGATCTTGAAAACAGAATTACTACTATATTCTAGAGAAAGTACAATAAATACAATATTCAAAGTGTTTCCATGGACTGTATATGTTATCTAAGTCAATAGGCATTTGAAAGATATTGATCAGAAGGTCAAAAGATAGCAGATTCCTAATATTAATTTTAGCACTGTACTTCAGAACACACTTATTTCTCATTGGCATAGTTTCCTAGTAAGACAATTAAGACAATAATTTCCTGTTGTAAAAATTATATTTAATCGTAAGTTTGTCAAAACCCAATTTTTATCATAAAGATAATTTAAGGTTATTGAATTTTAATAAACGTATGAAGCAGCATTTTACTATTATTTACTTATATCATTATCTTTATTCTTATTTACTTGTATTTTCGTGGCATTCAGTATCTCCAATCAGGATTAGATCCTCATCGTGATATGCAGTATTCCAACATAGGGTGGACTGAGCAGTGCCTGTTGAGAAAATCATAACATCAAAGTTGCATTTGAGGGACTGAACCTTCCTGGAAATTGAAGGCATTTTAAAAGTGGCAAAGAATACCCAGAGTCTTATGACATGCTATCAAAATACTTCAAGACATAATTATAATTTAGTTTAATGCTCTTGATTCTTAAATAAACAGGAAAAAATATACATTTTATATGCAGCATATTTTCTGTGCCATCAGAACTATTATATAAAAAAATTCTACTATAAAATGTTCCCAGAGCTAACAATAAGTTATTAGTAAGATATTTTCTAAACAAATGTATCATATTGTACTAATTTCAAATATACTAATTCTCATGCTTCTTAATATAGGGAACATTATATATTTATAATATAAAAAAACCTGGAATAGAATATAGAGCAGAGTAGAGTAGAGTAGAGTAGAGTAAAGCAGAACACTTTATTTAGCCAAGTGTGATTAGACACACAAGGAATTTGTCTCCAGTGCAGAAACTCTCAGTGTACATGTAAAGCAACAGAGTAATAATAATCATAATAACAATACCAATAAGAGGGGTTAGTAAGGAATATAAGAAAGATAATAATAATGCTACAGCTATACAACATGGGGTAAATGTACATAGACATTAGACAGTAATGTGAAAATTAAGTTTTCATCAGAGTGATGGCACAAGAGAAGAACCTGTCCCGATGTCCAGTTGTTTTGGCATGCAATGCCCTATAGTAGCATCCCAAAGGGATGAGTTGAAAGAGTTTATGTGAGGTGTCTATAGATATTTTCTCAGCCCTCCTTCTGACCCATGCAATATACAGATCTTCTATGGAGGGCAGGCTGTTTGCAATTGTTCTTTCTGCAGTCCTAACTATTCACTGGTGTCTGTACCTGTCCTGTTTGGCTGCTGTACCAAATCAGACAGTTATAGAAATACAAATGACTCAATAATTTCTCTATAAAATTGTATTAACAGCCCCTGAAGTAGTCCGAACTCTCTGAGTTGACACAGGAAGAACATACTTTTATACTTTTAAAATGATAGTTCTAATGTTAAGTGTCCACTTTAAATCCTGGAAGACTATAGAACCCCAAAACTTGAAGGATTCTATAGCTGATACTGTGCTGTCAAATATAGTTAAGAGATGGTAGAATAGAAGAGCTCCTCCTAAAATCCACTCTCATCTCTGTAGTTTTAAGCATGTTCAGCTCCAGATTGTTCCAGCTGTAACAAAGGTGAGTTGTTTAACCTCCTGTCTATATGCAGACTCATCACAATCTTGAATGAGGCCAATGACCATTGTATCATCTGCAACTTCAGCACTTTAATAGAAGGTTGCCTTGAGATGCAGTCATTGGTATATAGAGATAAGAGCAATGGATAGAGCACACAGCCCTGAGAGGTGCCTGTGCTCATTGCTTTGGTACTAGATATAATTTTCCCTAGCTTCATCCACTGCTTCCTATCAGTCAAAAAGCTTATGCAAATAAGTATGAACAGGTACTGGGAGCTGAATCACTTTAGAGTGAAGAATTTCTAGAATGATGGTATTGAGTGACAAGATGGAAGTCTATAAAAACGACCTGTGCATAGGTCCCCTAGATGTTGTAAGATATAGTGCAGTATCGTATTGACAGCATTATCTGTCGACCTATTTGCTCAGTAGGCAAACTCCAAGGGGTCTAAAAGCGGATCCATGATGACTTTCAGGTGGGCCAGCAGTAACCTCTCAAAGCTAACTTTGAGAGGTTAATGCTTCATAACTATAAATGTCAGAGCAACCAACCTGCAGTCATTCAGCTCCCTGATGGAGGATTTGTTAGGAATCAGAATGATGGTAGAGTTTTGAAGTAAGAAGAGACGTAACACATCTCCAGTGATTTATTAAAAATCCATGTGAAGATGGGGACCAGTTGTTCAGCACAGGCTTTCAAACAAGAAGGAATTACTCCATCTGGGCATGGTGCTTTCCCAATCTTTTGAAATAGACCTCAAACATCTTTTTCTAAGATCACCAGAGGTGAGGGTCCCTCAGGAGAACGAAGGATATAGATAGATGAAGGAAGATTGACTATTGTTGGTGTACCTGGGGTGAGGTAGGTAGTGGTAGATGACAATTATCTCCTCTCAAGCATACAGTAGAACACATTTAGGTCATCAGCCAGTTGATATTTTCTAAACAAATGCACAATATTATACTAATTCCAAATATACTAATTTTCATGGCTCTTAATATAGGGAAGCTTATATCACTAGAATATAAAAAAACTGTAATTAACTTTGTCATGTAAAATAAACCCTTGCCTATATTTAACTCCACTTGTACCATTACCTTCAAATGATTAAACACTGTTTTATCAAAATACTTAAAGTTGTTATGGAAATACTATATATGTCCAATTCATTACTCCTCTCAAAACTGTAACAAGACCTGGAGAGTATTCAAAGAAATATAAGATGGTGGTTCCAAATTATCAAGTAATTTAAGAAAACACTGTCTTCTTAAAATGTTGGAAGCTACCATTATTTATTTCCTTCAATGTCTTCAAGATCCTCATCTCCCACTAATTCAGCATCCATTACTATTCCTCTAGCTTCTACTTCTGAGAAAGCTTTCCTAAGTGGCATTTTGGAGTACATTTTTTAAAAATACTGAATCCTAGATAGGAATCAATATGGTTAGCACTAGAGCTTACTCCCAACCACATGTTTAGGAATATTCAAAATTCTCCAAACAATACGCTCAGTTTAATATGCTTATTTCAATAAATTAAAATGTAAATTAAATAGTTTAATTTTTAATAGCCATTAAATAGTTTAACTTAAGAGTATCATGTACATGATGACATTTCACAAATGACACAAATTATACTGCTTTTATAATGATATCACACAAATCTTGCAAATAAAATACTTTGCATTATTTACATAATGAATGAGAAATTACATGAGAAATTATTTGCATCAAGATCTGGTAAACTGAGGTTTTACTATTTCCTGAACACTATGTGGTTTTTAAATCAGTTAAATGCTATCCATTAATATTTTGTTAACTGTTTTGACAATGATACATATCTCATCCACATTAAAGTGTCAACAACTAATTCAACATGCCTACCAGACACTAAGCAATTCAAATCTTTTATAGGCCAACATAATTAAGATGAGGTATTAAAAAACCATAAAGGATAGATCAAGAATAAAAATAAAAATATAAATCTGCTGTTTCTATGAGTCCAGAGCCACAGGAACATTATCTTTCCAGGTAAAGAATCTTTCTTAATTGGCCTTCATGGATACCTGAGGGAAAGAGATGACATCATGCCAGAGTAAAGAGCCTTTTGTGTTTAAGTACAGTATAGTTAGGTATGGTTGGGGTAGCAGAGTTACTGTCGGATTCACTGCAATAACTTTTAAGGCCTGGCTTGGTCCAACTGGAGTTCTGTGTCTGTTTAATGAGTGTTTTACCTGATCATATCCATGCTAAGTAGAAGACCTGCAGAGAAGCTCAAAGATATGATTTTAGTTATTACTTCTTGTTTCCATATAACTAAAAATCACTTGTTGTTAATGAGGCAAAATCATGTTAAAGCAAAGTCATCCACATTCTAGCCTCCATTTTCATGAAGCTGATCTCTAGTCATAGGGTGGCATTAGAGACACAATTAGACACTTGAAAGGTTGATCTTAAAAATCATTTTGTATAACTTCTAATAGTGCAGCAATGGAAAAGGTGCCTAGTTGGACTTCATAGAGAAATTGTGTTATTGGCTTCAAATAATTTCAGAGCTGCAGGTATATAGCAGTCATTTTACATCTTAAGTAATTTAATGATGGTAGATGAGCTCCTCTGTGCATTTTAAGAAACCTAGTTCCCACTGAGAAATGGGAACTACCATTGCAAAACGAAGAACTACTCCTCAAGGTATCTGAACAGGAGACCTGTTCAGTCTTGGAGCAATCTATGCTCCAGGAATAGGTCTTTAGTACCAATCACAAACCTCTCTGTATTAATGCCTTAAGAACTAATACTTATCTAAATATTCATTTTAGAAGATTTCTGGATGTGATTTACTTGTTAGTGTTTTATTAATGTTAGTGTACTGTTAAGCAGAGCAATCACCCAATGTAGGTGATACTGTTATATATGGAATACTATTAAAAAGTCATATTAAGAAAATAAATGAAAAGTTAAATAATAATAGATTATAATTTCTAAAATATAATTTTTGGAAATATCAAAATATAATGTTGCTAATGTGAAAATTAATTTCTAGTCCACATGTATCTGTATTGAGGAACATAATTTTAACTTAAACATACTCAAATATTGGCTAAGAAGCAGGGTGGATTTGATTTAAATCAAGTCAATTTAAATCACGATGCAACAGTAGTGGGCCTTATTCAGGATAACAATTAGGGTGCTTACCACGATGTGGTAAAGGGTTTGGTGAACTGGTGTAATAAAAACAGCCTGGTTTAAACAAAAGAGATCATTGTCGACTTCAGAAAAGGCAGGCACAGCCATACATTTCTGTGTATTAATGATTCAACTATGGAGGTGGTTAATAGCGTCAAGTTTCTGGGTGTGCAACTAATGAGCAGATTAACAGTGAGACACTGGTGAAGTGGGTACAGAAGCACCTGCATTTTTTGTGTCGCGTGAGAAGAGTACATCTTTCTTCCCCTGTCCTTACCACTTTCTATAGAGAGACGATCGAGAGCATCCTGTCATATTGTATTACTGTCTGGTTTGGAAATATTACTGCTTCGGACAGGAAGGCGATACATAGAGTGGTGAGGATGGCAGAAAAAGATTATTGGAAGTTCACCTTCTATCAAGGACATGGCATATATGCTTGATCAGGGTCCACAGTATTGTCAGGGATGCTACACAACTTCAGTTTTCCTTGTTATCTTCTGGGAGTCCATAAGAAAACACATATATGTGTGTGTGTCTGTGTGTGTGTATTTTTACGTTAAAAATTCGAATCCTGGGTGATGCCATG